ACACACACACACACACACACACACACACACACACACACACACACACACACACTCTTTTCATGAATGATGGAGTTTAGCCTGGCTGACGTTCCACTGATAAACTTTAATTATGGCGGCACTGCGCTCGTTAGACATATGTGAGCGATCGACTCATGAGGAGCACTTGTGTGAGCGCCTTGACCAAAAAATAGCCATTTCAGAAAAAACGACATGACGTATCGAATGAAGAGAACAATAGAATAAAATTTCAGCGATGACGAGCCATTATAGAGGAACATTCAACTGTAAACTACGTCATTATTGCTAGGGGAGAGTTATCTATCGTGATTAAAATTGTAAAAATACCGACGGAAAAGGGCGATTGCCGCGTTTACTGTCGACGCTTCTAGCCACTTATACAATTATCATAAAACGTTGCGAATTTCTTATCTCCGCGTCCGGCGGAATCATATATAATTATTATAATATGAAAGTAAATTTTGCTCGAGTATTTACCTAACCTTTATTGCTATGGGGGATTGCTGCTGCTTCTGCTGCTGCTGCTTCTGCTGCTGCTGCTGCTGCTGCTACTGCTGCTTCTGCTGCTGATGTTGTTGTTATTGTTGCTGTTTTTTTTGCTGTTACTGTTGCTGTTGTTGCTGTTGTTGCTGTTGCTGCTGTAGCTGTTGCTGCTGTTGTTGTTGTTGCTGCTGTAGCTGTTGCTGTTGTTGTTGCTGTTGTAGCTGTTGTTGCTGTTGTTGTTTTTGCTGCTTTTAGTGCTGCTCCTGTATCACCAACTGTTGTTTACCACCGAAGAGCTACTGCTGCTGTAGTTGTCATAATCGTCAATGTCGTCGTCGCAGGCGTCATCGTCAACATCGTCGTCTTCGTCATTATCATGGACATTGTCATTGTCATGAGTCTCGTCGTTGTCACCATCGTCGTCGCAGCGGTCACCTTCACCATAAACCGACGTCGTAGTCAGCGTCCGGGAGTTGTCATCGTCGCCTTTGTCCTCGTTGCTGTTGTTGGTCGTCATCATCAATCAATCATCATCCATCATCAACCTGCTGCCTCCTCCTACCTCCTCCTCCTGCCTGCCTCGATCTCCTCCTCCTTCCGCACTCCTCCTCCTCCTCCTCCTCATCATATCATCACCCATCAAACCTCCGCTGCCTCCTGCCTCATCAGTCATTGTTGTCGTCGTCATCATGCATCGATCATACATCAAACCTGCTCCTCACTCCTCCTGCCTCGACCTGCCTCCTCCTCCTCCTCCTCCTCCTCGCTCCTGCCATC